ATGACATTGGGTTAGCTTCTATATGAACTCGAGCCTTGGCCATGAGCCCTTTCGTTTCAGGATACCAGAAGGGTTATGGGCCTGGCTTTCCATTGATATCCCTCTCGCCCTCCTCTGCGCCCAATTGACCCTCCTAATGTCTACGTTGCCCACGACTGAATGGTTTACGTATTTTCATTCGTCGACTTGACTTTCAAAAAAGATCCTCGTCCTAAAATGCATGGATATTGTATATCCACGCTAATGATATCTTGAGATATGGCATGATAGTAGCTAGTCTAGCCATGAAGAAGCCAAAAAGCACTTCTTGATCCTAGCAGTTTACTGTTCCTATTATGTATCCAGTAATATGTTTGATGCACGCCCTCCACGTAAATGGTACATTTGAAGTCGCATGTATGTTCTTGACAAGCCTTACGAGGCTCAAATTGCATGTATCTATTCAAAACAACCAATAACTTCACACCTAAATCTACAGTAACACATAACGGGGGTATCCTCTTCGTGAATCAATAAACACAAGAACATAAAAGTCAAATCAGTCGCGGCGAACATTCAACGACTCTTCTAGGCGATCGAGAAGGTAGTTTTCCGATTGCACTGAGGAGGCGGGAGAGGGAGAACGTCTGGTATGCGATTGCGGCACATCTGTAGCTGTTGGGATAGCACTGTCCTCAGCCGGAGTAGCTGGGGTGCTGTCGGTCGGGGTAACACCTTCGTTGACCCCCTCAGCTATCATGGCAGACACAGTAGCGGCAGTGGGTGGGTTGGCAGATGCAGCGCCGATAGCGGCGGCAGCCCGTCGCGCCGCTTTCTTTTCCTGTTTGCGAGCTCTTCGTTTTTCCTTGCGTGCCTGGGCTATTTCCTGGGGTGTTGACGGCGTTGTCGAAGAACTCCCGGTTTGCTGTTGTGAAGACTGATTCATCCCGATATCGAGATCAAGGATTGTGGCGTTCGTCGCGAGCTTCGAGTTCCAGAGCTGGAGCAACTTGCTAACGTCGTCGTACTGCGCTAGGGCATCAAGGCATTCCAGGACTTTAGGAAATATGCGAGACTCATCAATACCCGGTGCGTTCGTGAACTCCGGGATCTCGAGGATGTTGTAGGGCTCGCTGAGCGCTTTGAGCTTGCTGTCATCGATGAGAACGGTGTTCGTCTGGTCCCACCGTGGATTCCCCTGCGCCGCCTTTTTCTTCGTTTTAGACCGACCTTTCTGATGGGAGCTGGGGTACGAGGCTTGAATCTCTTGATTGCTCCACACCGTCTCTAGGGTCTTATAGACCTGCACCTTTGACCTGTACTGAGCTTTTGAGAGGTTCAACTTGTCGCGGCCCCATTCAGCTACCAGTGACTTTCTTTTCTCGCCAGGAAACAGTTTCTCGCAAACTGCGCCTACCGTCTCTGGTTGCGAACTGGACCAGATCATGACTTTGTAGTTTTTCAACAAAACGTCCAAGAACTGGTCCAGGCCAGTCCTTTTGGCGAAAGAAGGGGGCAGACGTCGGTGTTTTCGAAATATCAGAGTGCCGTTCAGGTCAAGAATAACCAGTAGAGGTTGGCGGTTGGGACGTAGTTTCGGGACCAAGGATGATTGCGTCAGATACTCCTTAGTCGGCGCAGGAGGCTCCGGGGTCTTAGATCGCCGATCACGCGGTGGGATTGGGAGCAATGTTTGCGGTGTTGGACCCTGAGAATTGCCTCGAGTAGGGCCAGCTGTTGTAGGATACATTGGGTCGAAGGGACAGAACGGAAACCCGCCGAAAACTGGTGGTACCAATGCTGGACTGGAAACACCGAAGTTCACTGGAGGGAATGGGGGCATTAGGGGCATGAAAGGTAGTATCTTTCCAGGATTATTCAAGTCTGGCATTGGCGGGAAACCGTAAGGGATGAACGGGAGGTTATCAGGCAAAGTTTGCGATTGTGATGATTGCAAGTTGGATAGGTGAAATGGGACAAATGGCTGCTGCATAGCTGTGTTGGTAAGAGAGTCTGGTGTACTGGACGGTATAGGTAAAACGGGAAACGAGTTGATATTCGGGTCAAATTGCGGACTAGCAGACGGCGCATTGAAGGGCTGCTGTAGTTGCATGTGCGGAACTTGTGCTGGTTGAGAGCCTGATAGATGCGGACTATACGGTGACGGTTCTTCTTTTGACAGAATGTCAAAAGATCTGCCATTGCGCCGTGTACTATTTTTCCGCAAACCGCTCGACACAGCATTGTCAGTTCCGGGAGGAATCACAGTGTCGAAGCGCCAAAGGGCGTTGTTCGAATCCGAGCGACCTTGATACGGCCTCCATGATTTCTTCAAATTCTGGCTTGTATCGGGTAGACCATTATTGTTCTGTGGATGATATCCTGCTCGAGGTGCACCATCTCTCACAGCTTTTGACCGTCTCATTCCTAGATCTTCGAGAGCACTGGTGACGGTAGCTTGTAATTGGGGTTTCTTCAACGGGTTGATACGCGGCGGCGACGTCAAGGCAGAATTGGCTGGCGCTTTGGGATGGGGCAGGACCTATACAGGAGAACCCAATGTTCAGTCGCCGACCATGGTGATCATCTGTATCTGGATTTGTATACACACCTTCTCGGACGCCCCGCCTTGGAGCATGCGGCGATAGGCAGCAGTTACTGACAGCGGCAGAGATGAGATAAATGAAGCAAGCCTAATGAATGGATGGACCCAGCGCCCAAAAACCATGAAGTAGACGAAGAATTGATGCTATGCGTAAAGAAAGAAAGAATGATCAAGATTGACTGCGCTGTTGGAAGAACGGCAAAATAAAAAGGCGACAACAGACAATCGCCGCGCGGAAAGAAAAGCGGCCAACGAGAGTCCCGCCGCCGAGCTCACCGCCTTAGTTGGTGGCAGTATAATCGACTTTTTCTGCGCTGGTCTTCACCGCCGCAGAGTATTCGAGGCACAGCTGGTTACTGCGCTCTTATACTTTGCTGCAGTCCATTCTCTGATATACGTATCGAACTGAAGCCACTAAAGAGAATGGCGGTTTCTGATCTTCTCAACCGACGAGTACGAGCTCTACCAGACGAGGACGAAGAGGTTTACTCGGAAGCATCTGCATCCGAGTCGGAAAGTAATGATGAAGAGGTTGAGGAATCAGGATCGGATCTTAGCGATGATAGCTCAGAAGGGGATGATGGCTCTGAGGTAAGTCTTCCAGAACCTTGCGCCCCAGGCATCGCACGTTTCTAAGAGTCATCATCAGTCCCAAGACGAGTCAGATGCCATGAGCGATGAAAACGAGGAAGATGACGAGGACGACGAAGACAGCGACGACGGCCAGGACGATGTGCAGGCTTCATTAAGCAATATCTCTTTCGGCGCACTCGCCAAAGCGCAAGCCTCATTAGGCCCCAAAGCCAAGCGCAAATCCAAACCCGCGCAGTCAACAGCAGATGATGGAGAACCCGCAGCTGCCTCCCCGTTAGACGACATTCGCGCGCGGATCCGCGAAGCCCGCGAACAAAAACGACAGGGATCCTCAAAGTCGAAAGACTCCGAGAAGCTTTCCCGCTCCTCCAAACATGCACCGATGGTGCAGTCATCCAAACACCCCGTTACCCGCAAGCGCGCCATCATCGAGCCGCCGGCGGCCCTCAAATCGCGGGACCCGCGTTTCGATCCCACGGTACGCAGTCAAAGCGGGCGTAGTGAAGCTTCCCAGAGCGCTTACACCTTCTTGGACGATTATCGCGCTGCGGAGCTCAAGGAAATGAAGGAGAAGCTCACAAAGACCAAGGATCCGAGACAGAAGGAGGCCTTGAAGCGTGATATCCGGTCGGCTACGGACCGTCTGCGCACAATTGAAAACAGAAGAAGGGAGAAGGAGGTATTAGCGGAACACAAGAAACGAGAGAAGGAGCTCATCCGCGAAGGAAAGAAGAGTAACCCATACTTCCTCAAGAAGTCGGACCTCAAGAAGCAGGTGTTGCTTAAGAAGTATGAGAGCATGGGCTCTAGGCAACGTGTGAAGGCGCTAGAGAGAAGGCAGAAGAAGCTGACTGCTAAGGAGAGGAAGGAAATGCCTATGGAGCGACGCGGACTGGAGCATGATTCCACGCCTTACAATGATGGCGGGGGCGGTAAACGCAGGCGGCTTGCTTAGAGACTTTGTGCCCATATCTTCAATCTATCAATGCTTTATGGCGAAACCGTTTGTTTCCTTCTACATGATTTCTTCTGTGAAAGCTTGCATCTGGGCTCTGAATAGATCACGGAAATGATCATGAGAACTCATTATTAGAATTTGACTGGATCTACCAGTCCACACTAATTGTGCTATAAAAATGCAAGAAGACGTCTCCCTCTCTCAAATTATCACCAGTCCTGATTCAAGAGGATTGATCTGCGCCAGGCATTACTGTAAGGTTCAGGTCAAGAAAAAGAAGTTTTAAGGAAAAAGGAAAATGAGCTTTGTCTGACAGAAATGCTATGTCGAAATGGAAGATAAGAAAATGGTGACGAGAACAATGGTATCACAACAAGATGACCAAATCAGCGGCGACAAATGCCAGCAATGATATCGGTGGAAGGGAAGAACAGATATGGACATAGTATTGTGCAACGTTGACATGTCCCAGCACCCAATCCAAAAGATACAACGCCAGTAAACAGCAGCCCCAAAAAAGGTGGAAAGAAGAGGGCCAGGGAGGCAAGTCAGAAATGATAACATCTCCGGCTCTGGTATCAGGGATGTTCGAAAGAGTTCGTAAGGATAAGTCGTAAGTCTCGCAATCATCAATCTCAACTGACTAATCTCATTCAGTCAAAAAGCTTCGTGCCTGTCGGATTTTCAGCTGTTCTGAATCTCAGCATACCAAGACTGCTCCCGATTTAGATTCGTTGCGTTCTTGTTCGAGATGCAGAGGATCTGAGCCCGCAAGACCTGACTCCTAGGATTATGCCCAAAGCTGAAACAAGTGAATAACATCCGACGAATGATGGGATACAACAGGCCCCAGATGAGCATGGTTCATGAGTGAAAAAGATCCCAAGCCCTGGCACACAGGCTGAGAAACTCCTCCTTCTTTCTCCGTTGTGTCTCGGGAGAGTCTCTGCCTGCTCCAAAAGGCCCGTAAGTGGTGTTTGCGCCAGAAGCTAGAGCTGGATTAGGTCGATAGTGAGGTTCGGGGCCGTGACCCAAGGGAGGACTTCCGTTATCCTGTTCATATTCACTTCTCGGGCGCCGGCGAGCAGTGCCCTCGGTTGATTGTAATACAGGTTGGACAGGCGGATGGGGCGCTGAAGGCGCAGCGTCCGTACTAGTTCGCGACTTGGTTTGTCCGTTAGTTACGTGAGGAGACGGTGGAGTTGGAGGCTGGTGGCCGCCATAGTGAACAATGCGCGGTAGAAGCTCCTCACGTCCACCAGCTAATTCATGGACGGCCTCCTCTGCGGATCGGTACTCCCGAGGTCGACCTTGCACTTGCGCCGCAGATCCAGGCATCCTTGGAGATGGTAACGGCGGAAGGTTATTGGATTGTGACGGATTTGTGCCAACAGCCTGATAGTATGTGCCGCGATTAGGGTCCCGATCACGGGAGCCTAGAGCTTCAGAGCCAAAGACGTCAGATAGCGGGGGAAGGCGATTATTTGTTTGAGTAGCAGGGACATGGTGAATGTGAGAAGTTGACCCGAGGGTAGGGCTCTGGTTCACAACGTGCCGAGTCAGCGGCTGCGCTTGGTATCGACCGGTAAAGGATTGATGCAGCGGTGCCGATTGAATGACGCGCTCGTTGGCAAATTGGGCAGCGGACGGAGGTACGATTGACAGACCAGGCGGAGGTCTACGCTTGAAGGCGCCCGTTTTGGGGGCACCAAATGTGTTTGACTCCGATGGTTTAACACCATCCGGACCGTCATCCTTGGCCGACTTGTGCAACCGAGATTCTATGATGGACCTCTGCTGGTCTCGCACGGAAAGACTCCTTTGAAGCTGCTCCCTCATAATTGGATCATGAGTCTGAAACCCCGGTGACAAGCACGCGATCCCAACGTCAAGCATGGTAACTCCGTCACGGGCCGTCATGGGACCGCCGGCAGCGCGAGCTGAAAGACCTCCCGCAGTCGGGAGGCTGGTGGAGAGGTCCAGCTTTCGGGGTCGGGGCCGAGTGTGAGTCTGAGTTTGCATAGCAGGCGAGGATGGCGGTTCTTTTTTCACTATCACCTTGGGAGGGATACTTCCACTTTGTGATCTAGACGGAGGAGAAAAAAATTAAAGTGTTAGCAAACACCCAGATCACAACTTTTGCTTATTATAAGGCATTTGCACGAGCGAAGTCGAGGCACTTACGATGGCGATGTGTGCTTTCGTCCCGGTGATGAACCTTTCGCTGCAGATCCATCTTGTGAGACGCCAGATGCTCGTGGAGGTGTCAAACTGGAGTGGGAACTTGTCGTTGTCCGTGCCAGGGTCGGGCAATTTTTTGGACTCGGATCGCGATTCATATGCGGCGACGGCAATGGAGCGGCTGTAGCAGGTGCAACCGCCGTAGACATGATAGTATAAAGTCTGATTAAGAATATCCCGGAAGACTAGATGATTATATGGAATGGTATGTAACGGACAGTGAACCCGATGGATTGAATAGCGGAGTTGTTGTTCTCGATAAGTCGCACGGGTCCGCGGACGAAGCAAGACGGTGCGGAACAATCAAGAGTATGTGGGTTGTACTCTGTATATATCGCTGGTGAAGTTCGGAGAGTCTAGAGTAGGTATGGGACTGTGCCGCACTCAGTGAGGATAGGCTTCGTTATATATAATGATGTTGATTCGGTGGTTGAGGAGAGGTGATATCAAAAGGTCCCGAAAATCGAACGGTCTCCCGTTAGAGAATCGACTCCGACTGTTGGTAACTTGGTAGGCGTAAAGTGGAATGGCGCGCCGATGGGAGAGCGCGGCGGTGGTCAGCGGCTATGCTGGGCTTTTGCTCTTGTCGAGAAGTGAAAGCTGCCTAGCCAACAAATACCCAGAAAAAGCAACCCGAAACACAGACAAGCAGAGCACCGCCACTACCAAGTCAAAAGGACAGACAAGAAGACGAGTGACGAGACACAGTACCAAGAGATATGATCCACGCCCAAAAGGAGCATGAATCGAAAACAAAAAAGCTGTTGGAAGTGTGACACGAAGTGGTCAGACACTTTCGGGGAGGGCGGTTAAGTAAAGCTGGCTGGCGGCAGTGTGACGGCGCCGACAGGGTCAGTCAAGCCGGAGATCGATCCAGAGCAACAAGCGAGAGAAACTGGACAGGGATCTCGATAGGTCTAGCCAACTAGTATGCAGGCAAACAGGCAAGTTGCCTAAAAGGGAGAGAGAACAAAGACAAGGCTAAAATATGCGAAAAAGGTAAAAGAAGTAAGAAGAAATAAATTGACAGGTGATTTTGAGAAAGGTCAAAGGGGGAAGAGGAGAGGAAAGACAGAACTAAGGACGACGACAGGTATGACTGGAAGACAGATATAAGACGACGGACTGAGAGGCAATAAAATAATAATAATAATAATAATAATAATAATAATGATAATGATAATGATGAAAATCAAGATGACAGATGAGAAGAAACAAAATGGAGCATACTATCTAATACAAAAGTGGATCAATCACGGACACAGTTGGTGTTGTAAACTTGTATAGCAGTGTTTGACCACTTGGATATGGATGGAAAGCAAAGGTCAGGCAGGACTTAGAAGGAGAAAATGGGCTTCGCTACTCAAAGAGGAATAATATAATCAAAGAGGGGCTGGGCGACTCTCAAAGAGGCTGACGGAAGGATATAGGAATATGGAGCAGCCTCGATGGATACAAGTTTACAACATGAGGCTATGGGAGTATGGACTAGCTAATAACTATGGAGAAAGGGAAGAGGAGCATGTGGGGATGAAACCAGACAACCTGTGACCACTTGATTCTGCCGGATAATTTTAAAACATCTCTGAGATTCAAAGTACTGTACCCCGTAAGGGATTAAAATGGATGAAATTCCTGGATTATTGAGTATCAGTATTTATGTTGCTAGACTACTTATACAGCCATCACATACTCCATACTCTGTACTCTGTACTGAATATGATAATGGCACTTATCGATATTCTATGATACTCCGGTTTAGCATACCAGCAGCTGAGATCAAGAGTCATGTACTTAATTTATTTCAATAAGTGTTACTATTATTTTCCTCCTGATTGTCAGGGCAAAGGGTGAGTGGAGACGATGAGAGTTTGGGATGAAACTCGATTGGAGCATTCTGAGACATGGTTTGTTTCTGCCCAGGGCTTGTCCGTCAATGATGTGACAACTAAGACAGCCAACTTTCACCAATCAATGCTGGGATGCGATTCGTATCTCAGTCGGAGATACCATACCATATACGGAGTATATATTTATTAAAGATAATCCGCAGATGGAGCTGTTAGGAAGCAAAACTAGGTATGCCTCGACCTCAAGTCAAAGCCAAGTAAATGGCGTGCTTACAGAATCGCGGTTCGGTTTGCAACCTGAACGACAGGACAATATATAGGGACAGATACCTAAGGTAGGTATTATACAACAAATTAAGATCTGGAACACCTTAAGGTCTGACGGTCTGACCCCATCCTGGCTTCCCGCCTCTGGCATTAATTGGGGATCTAGCCTCGACCCAGCATTGTACATTCGACAGCTTGGTATCAAGTAACTAATATAGGAAATACATTCTCCACGGATTTACTTTTGAGGCATATCTTCAAGATAACAGACGATGTGGTGTCCAGGTTTCTGCCGAGTTGACTTCCGAGAAATGAATTACTGGGTATGCTCATAGTTCACCAGAATTACAACAAAATAATCATGCGAACTTAGGTACTGTCACAGTGAAGAGGGCAAACAGTGCAAACAGCACTGACTAAGTGGAGTTATATATCTTATAAATTATGACTTCCCTTCCTGTTTTCCTTCCCTTCTATCTGTACCTAATAATTATTATAACTAAAATCATAAAATACTACCTTAAAAGATTGCTTCCTCTACTGTATGTCTTATTTTGGTGACCAGTGCTGGGCCCTGAATTAATCTAGGCATTTTCTAGTCTTTGTTTTCATGTCTGTGTTAGTGTTTGAGTGGCTGCGGATCCTCAGTGGGTGACTAGGGGTAGATCTATATAGAGCTATCTCTTATATTTAAGTTTTAGTTAATCTTTCTACTAACTAGATTATTTCTATTATTATTCTTTTTACCTAAGTTATCTAGTTACCTATTTAAACTGCTCTCCTATACTATTAATTTATTAAAACAGATCCCTTTTTATTAATATATCTAGGAGTCTGGCTGGCATAGTTAGCACCTAGGAGTAAGTTAGTAGATCCTAAGATAATAATTATTAACTTAGTGTCCCTTCTAAAATCTACTCTAGAGTAGATTATATACTATAATATCCTTTCTTTAGAAATAGAAGGTAGTGAATTTACTAGAGAGGAAAGTATACTAGAGTAGCTATAAACTATAGCTACTAATTATTTACTTTTACTATTAGTTTTAAATTATAAAGATTCTGAAGTCATCCCTTAGCTATAGTTAGTAATATAAGAAGATTATTTACTAATAGTACCTATATACTATATAACTATGTTAAGTTAACCTACCTTCTCTAGAAGGCCTGGAGAGGATGTAGACCTATATATAAATTAATATAGGTTTATATAGGCTAGAGTTAACTTAAATCTAGAGGATAGAAAACTAGCTATAACTATAATACTCTTTATTAGATTATAGGATATAGCTTTATGGTTTAGTTATATCCTTAAGAAGGAGGATTAATAAGATTAGAAGATATTAGCTAAATATCTTTATATCTACTTTCCTAAGTAGGAGTAGGGTGACTATACCTAGAATGCTATTATAAAGCTTTTAAAGCTAAAGTAAGGGCAGAAAGGGCTATATAAGTATATTAATAAGGTTTAAGAACTTATAATAGTAATTCTAGATAAATAGGACTAGACTGTTACCTCTATATTTATAAAGGGAATTATAGATATAACTATATAGAAGATATTAAATATATATATTGTGATATCGAACAGCACATATATGACTTCAGGGAAGTCTATTAGACATGCAATGATATCTAGTGATTATTATCACTATTTATATAGTTAGTTAGACCTTACATTCCTTCTTAGCTTAGGTTAAAATATAAAAGAAGACTAGAATCCCTTAAAGTTAATAAGATATATATAGGGTGGCTACTGGCCTACCCCCTACCCTTATACTCTTTAAAGACTCTATATCCTTAATAATAATAAATATCCTATCTAGTAGCATATCTAGATTAAGTAAATATATAATACTTAATTTCTAGGAAGGTTTAAAACCCCTTATAAAGGATTAATCTAAACTATAATAGCTTTAGTCTACTAACCCTTAGGAATATTATTAATAATTTAACTTTAATAAAATCCCTTATATTAATTATCCCTAACTTAATAAAAAATACCTTAGATTAGTAAGTTTTTAACCTTTTTAGACTAATTAAGATACCTAAGAGGGTGATAATTTACTATAGGGATATCCTTATTAATTCTTTCCTATAGTAATATTATAAGTTATAGATATCATAGGCTATTAGAGTCTTTTAAAATAGTAATAGATATAGGATTAATAATTTAACCTTAAAGAAAGATAAATTAGGAGTTATTAAAGTTATTTTAATAAGTTTAAACTAATATTAATAATTATTAAATCTAACTTCTACTCTTAATTAGATATTATTCTTTACTTAATAAAATAGATAATATTAAATCTATATCTTCTAGTGTGGAGACCCCTTAAACCTAGGCTACTAATTATAGTAATAGCTTTAAGGTAGAATACTTTTAACTCTAATAGTAATTTACTCTTACTACCTAGGGCATAAATAAAGATACCTAGGCTAAACTAATCTAGCTATATAAATAGTTAGTTAAACTTCTCTAAGATTAGTATAACTATCTAGGTTATACCTATCTAGATAGGGCTATAGAAGCTATAGCTACTACTCTTAATTCTAACCCTCTCCTTACTATTACCCCTAAAATACTTAAGCTATATTAAAAGATTTCTAACCTTAAACTAATCCCTATATATAATAGTAAGTATAGTAAGGATGCTATAATAAAGTAGCTCTAGTAGATTAATAAATACTTTTATAATAAGTAAACTCTTACTTAGAAGGAAGCTACTAAACTTAAAAAGATTATAGTAATTAAGTATTACCTTATAGGCTAGGCTAAAGAGTAGTAGGATACTTATAAGTAAAAGACTAAATATAATTTAATAGCTACTATAACTATCTTAGATGCTTTTAAATAGTAGATCTAAGACTATTTTAGAGAAATTAGAGAAGAAAATAAATATTAGGAAGAGTATAAGAGATATACTTAAGAAAATTAAACTATATAATTCTATATTACTTCCCTAATTAAGGTTACTAAATATATTAAATCTAGAATTCTAGATAATATATTAATCTAGAAATTTATTACTA